TCTGCTGCTTTCCCAGTGCACTCGGAGGGAGCTGGATGGGAAACAGAGCTGGCAGTACTCAAGCCAGTGCTCTGCTAGGGGAAGCTGGCATTCACGCTGGCTTCGCAGGCAGCGGCTTAGCCTGCCGCTCCACCACACCAGCCACTGACTTGGGCTTTTTTTTTTTTTAAAGTTACAGAGAGATAGAGACAGAGAGAGAGGTCCTCCATCTTCTGGTTCACTCCCCAAATGGCCGCAACGGCTAGAGTTGTGCCGATCTGGAGCCAGGGGCCAGGAGCTTCTCCTGGGTCTCCCATGTGGGTGCAGGAGCCCAAGGACTTGGGCCATCTTCTACTGCTTTCCCAGTCCACAGCAGAGAGCTGGATCGGAAGTGGAGCAGCTGGGACTCCAACTGGTGTCTACATGGGATGCCGGCCCTGCATGTGGCGGCTTTGCCTGCTACGCCACAGCGCCAGCCCCTGCCTTGGGACTTTTTTTTACTACAATAGTGCAGAAGCTGTTTTCTGCTCTCAACCTGCTGTTCAAGAAATTGCATGCACTTATCCAAACTTGAGTATAACATGGGCTTTGTGTTAAAATTTGTTATTATTTATTTATTTCCTGAAAGGCAGAGTTATAAAAAAAGGGGGGAGAGACAGAGAGAGGTCTTCCATCTGCTGGTTTACTCCCCAAATGACCTCAGCGGCCATGGCTGGGCCAGACTGAAGCTGGGAGCTCCTTCTGGGTCTCCCATGTGGCTGCAGGGACTGAAGCACTTGGGCCATCTTTTGGCTGCTCTCCCAGGTGCATTAGCAGGGAGCTGGATTGGAAGTGGAACAGCCGGGACTCGAACCGGTGCCCGTATGGGATGCCGGCACTGCAGGCGGCTGCACTGGGACTCTGGGCCCTTTGTTAAGGGGTTTGTGCCCCACTGTGGGCAGATGGAAGTGTTCTGAGCACCTAAGTGCACGAGGCTACCTGGTGTGTGGGGTGTGAGGTGTGGAACTACGTTTTGGTTTACGAGATTTCCAACTTGGGATGGGTGTTCTGGGACACGGCCCCATTGCCACAGCGAGGGGCAAATGCATCGCCCCTGGAGGAAGCAGGTCGGGGATGGGGGAAGGGCAGGGTGAGCTCCCTTGGAGGAGTTCAGTGAGTGGCAGGTGCTGGGGGTGGGGGGCGATTCTCAGGGGCCAGGCTGAGAAGAAGAGAGGAGAGCTGTCCCTGGACGTGGACAGGGGAGGGAGGCAAGAGAGGATCCGCACAGACCCCAGGTTCCCTGATAGAGGCTGGGGGGTACTCTGAGAGGAGCCCCTCACCGGGGAAGCTGGGAGGGAGCCAGACCTGTGCGGGTCAGCTCCAGCCTCATCCAGCCCCGGCCCCAGGACGCGGTGCGTGCTGTCTGCCCGCCTGCCTGCAGGCCCCCCGCCCTGGAGCTCTGCCCTCCCATGCCCCGGACTTGAGCCGCTTCACCTGCCCCTGCCACCCTGGCCCGCAGCCGCCCTGGCCCCCAGCCGCCCTGCCACCTGTCTCCACCTTCCAAGCTCACCTTCCTCTGCTGTCCTCATTCGGAAGCCATTGTCACCCTCCAGGGGGCGAGTGTCTCCCCCACCCCACTTAGTGCCACCCTTGCCAGCTGTCTCATCTGCAGGCTGCAGCCGTGGGGCCGAGTCTGAGCCATCTCTGTGCCCTCCTTGATAAATGGCACTGGAGGAGAACTGAAATCCATCATGCTTCCTCCGGGCAGTGCTTACTTACAGTCTAGCTCAAGTCTCTCTTGCTGCTGCCCAAGTCCATTTCCCTCCTTTCCTTCCTGCCCTGCCCTGAGCTCTGCTGAGGGCTTCCTGAAGCAGCGGGCACCGTGCCTGCCTACCCACTGGGGGACACTGCCTGATGCCGGGGGGCTGCTCCCTCATGGGAGAAGTCGAGGGCGCATCCAAGCCCTGTATTCCCCCGTGCCGAAGCCTGCGAGGCTTCCTGGAGGAGGAGCCCACTCACCTGCATCGTGGGGCGGGCAGCTGCTCTCCAGAGCCTGTCAGAAGTTGGATCAGATACCACCCCCTCCCCAGGGTTTTCAGCGTGCAAATGAGAGCCAGTCCCCATCACGGACCTGACAGGGAGCGGGGGGCTCCGTGCACAGAGTCCTCGCTGACTCACTTCCCCCTGAGCCCCCTGACACGCACTTGGTGTCGGCAGCCCAGTGGGACATCGGTCGTAACTCTCCCAGCCGTGTGGCCTCGGGCCGCTTCCTTAACCGCTCTGTGCTGCACCTGTCCTTGTCTGAGCCGGAGTGACCGGACGTGGTCAGGTGCAGGGAGCGGTGGCTGCGCTTTCTCTATTATCTACTCCCTCCCCACCCCCCAAGCCCACCACTCAGGCACTTGACATTGTCCTGACAGGTGTCAGGATGGCTTAGGGGCAGCCAGAGAGTGGTGTCTCCAGGCCTTGCCCCAGGGGTCTCGGGGTGGGGCAGAGCATGTGGGGTCGGGGTGAGGTTAGGGATGCCCTCACCATGCCTGTACCCCCCAGCCCCGACTCATGCCAAGCTTGGCCTCCAAACCCCCAGACCTGTCCCCCCTTCCCCCTCCCCCCCACAGCAACAGCCTCAAGGCGCTGAGGCCACACCTGAAGCAGGTGCTGCTTATACAGGTAGGGAAGACTGGGAAAGCATTCTAGAACTCTGGTGATTGGGCCGGCGCCATGGCTCACTTGGTTAATCCTCCACCTGCGGTGCCAGCATCCCACGTGGGTGCCGGATTCTGTCGTTGCTCCTCTTCCAGTCCAGCTCTCTGCTGTGGCCTGGGAGGGCAGTGGAGGATGGCCCAAGTGCTTCAGCCCTGCACCCCATGGGAGACCAGGAGAAGCACCTGGCTCCTGGCTTCGGATCGGCACAGCGCTGGCCGTAGCAGCCATTTGGGGGGTGAACCAATGGAAGGAAGACCTTTCTCTCTCTGTTTCTCTGTCTGTAACTCTACCTGTCAAATAATTAAAATCTGTCAAATAATTAGAACTCAGGTGGCGCCTGCAGGCCTGGCGGTAGCCCCTTGCTCAGCGCCCATCTGCGGCAGCCGGGGCAGCCCTGTGGGCATCTGAGCTTCTCCCTGTCATCGTCCGCCCTGGCTGCCCCCAGGGAACCATGGAGCCCCTGCCCCACGCCTTCTGCTCAGCGCTCCTGTACAGCAGCCCCCTCGTCCCCCGGCTGCTCCGGGCCTCGTGGCCTCGCAGAATAGAAAACAGGAAGTCCCGTTCAGGGTCCTGCCCGGGCTCTGCCTCCCTCCACGCTGGCTGTGGGGGCTTTTGTTTGCATTTCCTGCTGGGCCCTGAAGGGGGCGCTGTCAGGCAGAAGCTTGACATTGATCCCACCTCTGCAGCCTAAGCCTGGTGACCAAGGCCCTGCTCCCTTGTCCAGCCGCTGGGTGGCACACAGGCTGTGCCTCTCAACCCCCTGTCTCCAGACACCAGCCTGGCAGAGACTGAAGCAGGTGGGCCATCAGGTGCCCCCCCACCCACCTGCATTCCGACCTCGCTTGACTGAGCTCCCTGGGGTCTTAACCACATGACTCTGCATCCCAAACAGCCCCGGCCCCCAGCCTCCTCCCTTCCAGCCCCTCCCCACTCCCCCCGCCCTCTGCCGTGATCAGGCCACACCCCCACCCTCCATGCCATACCTGCAGAACCTCTCACCTGTGCCATCTCACCTGCCAGCGCTTCTTGCTTGGACCCCCTGGGCCTCTGAGACACACACACAAGGTCCCGTGGGAAGCCCCAAGTGGCTGTGACCTGTGGACAGGTCTGCTTTGTACTGGCCCCCGCACCTACTCCTGAGTCAGACCCAGGAGGCATCGGGTGAAAGCCCACGGGACAGGTGAACCCTTTGCTCACCAACAGGTGTGGTGCGGAAGGGGCCTGAGCCTCGCGAGGCAGGGAGAAGCCCCTCCAGGGCCACCCAGGGGTGTGCACGGGGGACTCAGTGGCTGTCACTGTGCCACACCTGAGGCCTGGGCGCCATTCTCACACCTGTCTCTCCTCTCCTTCCAGGATGTTTGATGAGCGAATTTTCACAGGTAAGTGGGGACCCATTCTGAACCCCACAGGGTAATGTCCCCTGATGACCTTGAGGTGACTTTGCTCTGGCCTTGAGTCTGGGCAACGGCTTCAGTGTCCAGGCACAGACAACATTTGCTGGCCGCCCCCGAGGAGCCAGGTTCTCCTCAAAGCTGCAAGCGTGTTTTATTCCAAGTCGGTTTAATTTTCAACACTCCTGTGCAACCAGTTCTGTTCCCATCCCCACGTCCCCATAAAGGGACCACAGCCTGGTACACCCAGGAAGTGTGGCCCCTGAGCCCAGCCCAACACAGCAGGCAGGTGGATGTCCAGCTGGGTCGGGGGAGAGGCAGGCTCTTGGGGGGGGGGTCCCAGCTCTGGCCCCACCTCCCACCAGCCTTGAAGCCAGGGATTATGGGAACACAGTTTGCACACCTGTGCCCTCCCCCCTAGGGAACAAGTTTACCAAAGACCCCACGAAGCTGGAGCCCGCCAGCCCACCAGAGGATACCTCCGCCGAGGTCTCCCGGGCCACCCTCCTCGACCTGGCTGGCACTACTCGGTGAGCCCCTACCCTGATGACTGTCCACGGACACCCACGCACTGTGAAAGGCAGGGCAGTGGCCAGATGCAGTCACCTGCCCTCGGCACGCAGCCTGGGCGCCATCCACCAGGGTCCACCGCCCGGGTTCCAAGCCCCCGGCTGATGACAGTTACACAGCACTGTGAATGTATCAAATGCCCCTGAACTGCACATTTATAAAAATGACTAAAATCGGGGCCAGTATTGCGGCACAGTGGGTTAAGCCAGTGCCTGCGACACCAGCATCCCCCATGAGCGCTCATTCGAGTCCCAGCTGCTCCACTTCCGATCCAGATCCCTGCTGACGCACCTGGGACAGCAGTGGGAGATGGTCCAAGGCCACAGGGATGGGCCACTCAGCCCAGGCCTCCCGCCGTAGTGCTCTGGGATAGAGCGAGGGAGCTGACAGAACCATCAGTCCCAGGCGCTCTGCCTAACCTGCCCCCTTCCAGGCTGGGGGTCCTACCAGCTCAAACCCTGCAGCAAACGCCTGTCCAGCCCCCACTGTGCGGCCCTGGGGAGCCCCCAGCGAGTGGCAAGCTGGACACCTGGCAGGTTCACCCCACAGGACAGCAAGCAAGAGTCTGGCTGGGCGGACGGTGGTCCCGGGAGGCGGGGTGCTGGGGGTCTCCATGCCCGGCCCAGGGAGCCCCTGGGCTGATGTGCCCATGGCATGCTCTGAATCGGTGGCTCTGACAGCCGTGGTGGGCACGCAGCCGGACAGGGAGACGCCACGGACGCCTGGTCATCGCCCGCCTTCCTTTCCAGGTTGGACAAGGGCACTGTCTCGGAAGACTGTGGACCAGGTGAGGAGGAGCAAGTGCCTGGCACGTGTGACCTGGCCTGGGGGAAGCGGCCTGCTGGGCACGCCCTGGGGGGCAGGGAGAGCCTGGGGGAATGTAGAAGGAAGACCCGCCCCCACTTTTCTTGGGTCTGTCACCAAGCAACTTCCAATCTGGGGGCCTTAGTAACATGGGGCCACCAGGCTTGGCCTGAGAGCCCGCCTGACCCCCGCTTCCTGGTCCAGGCAGGAGCCAGGGGGCTGATACTTTTCCTAGGGGTTCACTAACAAGTCACAGAATGTTCTGGAATGACCCACCCTGCCCGGCCATGCTCGTGCCCAGACCTGACAGGACCCCTCGTTTCCTCCTCCTCCTCCTCCTCCTCCTCCTCGCAGGAACCTCCGTGGAGCCAGGCGGGCTGAGGCCGATCAAAATCGAGCCCGAAGATCTGGACATCATCCAGGTGACCGTGCCAGGTGAGGCCCAGGGCCCAGGGGCTGCTGCGACCCGAGCCGAGTTCGCAGGTGCCCAGCCACACCTGTGCTCCCAGCTCCGGCCCGCCCCTCCCTGGCCTGACCTCCCTGGGGTTTTCCAAGGCAGGGAAAAACGTTAGAGTGAGAAGACCCGGCACCCCCACTCTCCACATCTGCACAGAGCTGGGTGCCCTTGACCCTGGAGGCTCAGCCTCGGGGTGAGCTCCGAGAACCCACAGGACGCCTGGCCCCTCTGAGTCCCAGAACCAGGCCTGTCTTGGGGCCCCCGTTCTGTGGCTGGACCAGTGGGGGTGGGCCCACAGGGCAGGCGGAAGATGCCCTGGTCACCTGGAGTTTCATCCCCAGACCCTTCTCCAACCTCGGAGGAGATGGCCGACTCCATGCCTGGGCACCTGCCCTCGGAGGATTCCGGTTATGGGATGGAGATGCTGACGGGTAAGAAACAGGCTTGGGGGGTGGGGTGGGACCTGTGGGGTGGCAGGCATGTCTGTTAGGGGACCGTGGCCCTCGGCGAAAATGCTCAGGACCAGAAACCGCTCTGGGATTTTTTTCCAGGTTTCCTCTCATTTTGGACCCTGTGCAAATACACAGTGAGCTGTCTTGGGGCTTGGAACCCAAGGGTCAACAGGCGATGCGTTCATTCCGTCCGTGCCTTCTGCACGGGGCCTGAAATCCATTTCATGCCTTTTTTGTTTGTTTGTTTAGCAATTTTGTGCACAAAACAGTTTCCGCGTGTGGGATCTTCCACTTGCAGTGGCGTCAGTCACGTCAGTGCTCAGAAAGTTCTAGACTTTGGAGCTGTTGAGCCTCCTCACTGGTGGGGGGGTGGGGGTGGGAGTGGTGGGGTACAGCCCCTGGGGGCTCCTGGCTGCTGGAGGGGTCCAGCAGGGCCAAGTGGGCTCTGGTCCCGGGCTTGTTTTTTTTTTTTTTTTTTGAAAGGCAGAGTAGACAGTGAGAAAGGTCTTCCTTTGCCGTTGGTTCACCCTCCAATGGCCGCCGCGGCCAGCGCACGGCAGCCAGCGCACCGCGCTGATCCAAAGCCAGGAGCCAGGTGCTTCTCCTGGTCTCCCATGGGGTGCAGGGCCCAAGCACTTGGGCCATCCTCCACTGCACTCCCTGGCCATAGCAGAGAGCTGGCCTAGAAGAGGGGCAACCAGGACAGAATCCGGCACCCCGACCGGGACTAGAACCCGGTGTGCCAGCGCCGCAGGCGGAGGATTAGCCTAGTGAGCCGTGGCGCCAGCCATGGTCCCGGGCTTGTTTAAAGATACTCAGCCTGTGGACCCCCCGGCTCAGGCTGGCTTCCTTTCAGAAAACCGGAAGTCAGCTCCACTATGATGTCTTTCCCAGGAGGCCCCGGGGCAGATGAGTTCATTATTTTACCCAGCAACTCTTTATTGAGACTGAGCACCAGGCCTTGTACAGGGTGCGGGGGGAGGGGGACAGTGCCGTGAGCAGACAGAAGCCCCTGCCTTGGTGCAGCTGACTCAATGCAGAGAGAGAGTCGGGGTGGGGTGGGGTGTGAGGGGGTTGATGCCCTGGGGGACACCAGGCTGGGAGGGGAGGTGTCAGGGGCAGGAGAAAGGGGTTGCCCTGGAACCAGGGCAGTCGGAAAGGACCTCACTGACAAAGCGGGACAGAGACCTGAGGAGGCCTGTGCAGGAGTGAGGGAGGAGCTTTCCAGCGAGCACATCACGTGCAAAGGCCCTGAGGCAGCCTCTGCCCCGTGAATCCCAGGGAAAGCTGAGGAGCCAGGGAGCCAGCTGCTGGCAGTCGTGGGGGACCCCGAGCAGGGCGGGCCCTGGCCTTGGGGCTGAGAACAGGCTGCAGAGTGCTGGGGACAAAGAAACAGACTCCTAGGATAATCCGGGGGTGGGGGGGCACAGCGGGAAGGGAGCAGGGCCTGTGTTTGTTTTGTTTTGTTTTTGAAGATTTTATTTATTTATTTTTAAGGATTTACTTATTCAGGGGCCAGCACTGTGGTGCAGCGGGTTAAAGCCCCTGCCTGCAGTGCTGGCATCCCATATGGGCGCCGGTTCGAGTCCTGGCTTCTGCACTTTCGATCCAGCTCCCTGCAAATGCACCTGGGAAAGCAGTGGAAGGTGGCCCAAGGGCTTGGGCTACTGCAGCTGCATGAGAAACCCAGAAGAAGCTCCTGGCTCCTGACTTCAGATCAGCTCAGATCCAGCCATCTATGCCATTTGGGGAGTGAACCAGTGGATAGAAGATCTCGATCTCTTTCTCTCTGTAACTCTTGTTTAAAATTAAAATATATATAAATTTATATATGTAAAATATATATTTATTTATTTAAAAAGCAGAGAGAAAAATCTTCCACCCCCTGGTTCACTCCCCAAATGGCTGCAATGGCCAGAGCCGGGAGATCCGAAGCCAGGAGCCAGGAGCTGCTTCTGGGTCTCCCACGTGGGTGCAGGGGCCCAAGTGCCATCTTCCACTGCTTTCCCAGGCTTGTTAACAGGGAGCTGGATCGGAAGTGGAGCAGCCGGGCCTCGAACATGGTGCTCCTGTGGGATGCCGGCATCACGGGTGGTGGCCTCACCTGCTGTGCCACGATGCCGGCCCCCCCCCCTTTTTTTTTACTTTATTTTGGAAGTGTTCAGAAACACACACAAGTGTGCCAGCTGACACGTACCCCGCAGGCAGCTCCAGCAATGACCCACAGATAACTGGTATAGATGATAAAAAGAGAAAGTACGGGCATTGAAAGCTTTGAGAAAAGGAGAATGGGATGGGAATGAGAGCCCTGAGGGCGTGGCTGTGGCCGGAAGTGACATCAGGGCCCGGGAGCCCCAAGGGAGCCGGAAGCTTCCAGAAGCTCGTGGCATCCTGGGGCCTGTTCTCCCGTGTGTGCATGAACCAGAGTTTCACGGGGTGGAATTTTCCGTTTGGAGCATCCCGTTAGTACCTAAAACGTTTCCAGTGTTGGTGCATTTCAGGGCGTCTGATTTTCGGGCGAGGGACGCTTAGCCGGAACCTCCTGGGGGAGGTGGGAGGGGAAAACAGGAAGTGGACCAAGGGGATTTGGACCGGAGGGAGCTTTCTGCGGAGGTCTGGGGCCCGGATGCCAGGAGGCTGCCGCACCCTGACCCGGGGGGTGGGCGCAGATTTGCACTATCCTGTGTCCCTTTCTGCACTTTGTTCAGTTTTTACCCAAAACACACAAATGACTGGAACAAATAAATCAGGAGTATCCTGCAGGCCCCGGCAGGTGGTGCGGAACAGCCCGCTCCTGCCCTCCCGCCACGGGAGAATGTTCTGGAAGCAGACGGTGTGGGCGTTCATTAACGAGGGCGGGGTATGCACTCAGGCTGAGCCCCAGGGGGATGGCACCCCAGAAGTCGCAGAAGGCGGAGGCCGGGGTCACACCACCTCCAGGCAGTTGACTGAGTCTCCCTGGGCATGGTTCTAGAACCACGGTCCAGAAGGAGGGATCTGGTGCAGGGTCCCGCGTGAGGCACCACTGGACCCTGGCCAGCAGCTGGCTGCGCCCCGTCCTCCCCTGGGAGGGGTCTAGGGGCGGGGCTTCTACCACCATGCCCTTTATGCCCCGGTCAGTATCCATGGGAGAAGCCACGGCCACATGGGAGTCAGGGGAGGGGGTCGTCGGGCACAGCCTGGGCGCTGGGGTCCCAGGAGGGGGCAGGGGTGCCCTGGAGTTCAGCGTCTGTGTATGGGAGGGGCAGGGAGGGAGGCCGAGCCGGGCGACCCTGCCCTACCTCTCCTGCAGCCTCAACAGGGGCCCTTCCAGTTGGGGTGGGGTGCCCTGGCCTTTATGCCCCCTCCTCCATCAGTCAGGGTGCTGTAGCTTTTTTGCTGGCTACACCGGAGCTGTCCTTTATAGGTCTGGCCTCTGAGAGCCGTCTGCTGTGGGGGCCACAGGTGCTTCCTGGGCCCTGGATGTGGGCGAGGCCTCTGGTCACCCACCGAACAGGAGAGCAGGAGACAGTAAATACGCACACACAGGAGCAGAGTGTCAACACTTGCCCCTCTCTGTAAGCAGAGACTTCGAGCACATGGGACGCTGGGTGCCCACACAGAACTGGAAGAATGCAGATGGGGGCCAGCGCTGTGGCACAGCCAATGAAGCCACTTTTCCCCAGGCTGTTAGCAGAGAGCTGGGTCAGAAGTGGAGCAGCCGGGACTCGAACCAGCGCCCCTATGGGATGCTGGCAGCGGCTTCACCCTCTGCATCACAGCGCCGGCCCCAATGTGGCACCATTTCTGTTGGAAAGGTTTCTCCCCAGGAAAATGGCTCAGCAAAGCAGGGTCACCTCCCCAAGGCCACACAGCCTGGCGCTGAGTTGGGAATGTCAGGTCTTTGGGACCATGCAGATTAGCAGGATGTATAGACATGTGTGCTGTAAAAACAGGTGATGCAGAACCTTGTACGACGTGCAGAGAATGCTCCCACGGGCACCACGTGCTGCGTGCCTGTCTGCACACGGCTCACGTGTGTGTGTTTTCTCCTTGGTACAAACTGACCCCGTCTCCTGCGCCTCTGTCTGCACTGGCACTGGTCTTGGGGCATCAATGCCACCTGACTTCTCGTTACCCACTGTGGAAGCCCATGGGGCAGGCAGCCTGGGCAGGGCATTGCTCGGGGAGCCCCAGGCAAGTTCCCCAAAACACATGCACAGCTCATCCTCTGCTGCCTTGGGAGGGGCCGGTTAGCCTGAGCCAGCTTCCTTCTGAATCGAGAGCCCAGGAACAAGGCTGGCCAGTGCCCATAGATGCCCAAGGGGGGACCCCGGGGGATGGCAGAGTCTGACCAGTCACGCATGGCTGCTTGCAGGTGCACAGCTCACGGCCAGGACAAGCTCCCCGGCCGAGTGTCCCCTCTGCTGACCCTCAGGCCACCTTCTAAACTTAGGCCCGTGCTCCTGGGGTGACACCTGGAAATACTAAGAAGGCAGCTTCTCTGGGGAATGCCAGAAGCTGTCCCCAGGACACCAGGATGAGGCTTTGAGTGTGGTTACTTGGGGGACCCCCGGGAACAGCGGCAGTGGCTGGGAACAGGGCCGGGTCCCACCGTGGGTGGTGGAGCCACTGGCTAGGCAGGCCAGAGTGGGCACAGCTGAGCTCTGGGGGAGGGTGCTCCCCATTGTCGCTGAGAGCTGTGTCTCCCGGTGTTGTCTCTGCCCACTCCACTCACAAAGCCAGGATGAAGCCTTTGGCGGGCACGGCAGGCAGCGGGCAGACCCTCACATCCCATAGCAGCCCGGGTTCCTGTCCCAACTCCGCTCCGGCCCTGGCTTCCTGCTAATGTGCACCCTGGGAGGCAGCAGTCATGGCTCAAACATCCGGGTCCCCGCCATCCATGTGGGGGACCTGGATAGAGTTCCCAGCCCTGGCCGGCTGTGGCAGGTGTTTGGGGAGTGAACCAGCAGGTGCAAGATCTGTCTCTGCCTCACCGTGTTTCATATGAACTAATTAATAAGTCAGTTTTTTTTAAAGATTTATTTTATGTATTTGAAGGACAGAGTTACAGAGAGAGGTAGAAATAGAGAGAGAGGTCTTCCATGCACTGGTTCATTCCCCAAATGGGCACAATGGCCGGAGCTGTGCCATTCCGAAGCCAGGAGCCAGGAGCTTCTTCTGGGTCTCTCACTTGAAAGCAGGGGCCCAAGCACTTGGGCCATCTTCTACTGCTTTCCCAGGCCATAGCAGAGAGCTGGATCGGAAGTGGAGCAGCTGGGACTAGAACTGGCGCCCATATGGGATGCAGGTGCTTCAGGCCAGAGCTTTAACCCGCTGTACCACAGCGCTGGCCCCTAAATAAGTCAGTTTTTAAAAGAAGCCTCAAGCAGGCCCATGTTCCCAGGGTCTGTTGAGGCAGGGCTGGCCTTTTCCCACTGGTACTGGGGCATCAGTGGAACCCTCCAGAACCTTCCAGCTCCAATGATCCCAGCCACGGACTCAGCTTCCTTCAGTTGATTCTGAGCAGGGCTTGATCCCCGGGGCCTCCCCCTGTGCCCTCCCTCCCCTCTCTCCCCACAGCCGGAGCCCGGCTCTCCATGCCCATCGTCCCTCAGTGCTGCGGGACCTGGGGTCCAGGCTGCTGCTCCTCTCCCGGCTCCGTCGTGGCCTACATGGGGCTGGGGGTTAGTCCTGCACTTGGAAGCAGTGGGAATTGTTAGGCGCCAAAGCCAGCATCCAGAGCTGCAGCCCCCCATCCCCTGGGTCCCAGCGGCGACAGCCCTCGCCACCTCCCTCCAGCCCCAGTGACAAAGGCTGCTGAGCCGGACCCCTGGCCCCCTGCCAGCCCCTCACTCCTCCCCTGCTCTGAACTTGGACTTCATCCCCCAACCCAAACCCCACATGGCTCCCCCCTGCCTGGGTCCCTCCAGCAGCCCTTTTCCTAGATGCTGGGCTCCAGCAGGAAGCCCCTCGCCCACTTGCACCCCCCAAGGCCAGCAGGGGACCCCCCCACCTCATCCAGACCCCCCAGCACTCACCTCCCCTGCTGCTCACTGTTCCTGTAGGCAGCCTCTGGGAACAAGGTTGAGCCACCATTGCAAGTGCAGGCCAAAGCCAATGCCGCTTTGTCAGAGGCCCCTGGCCCATGCGTGCTGGTGCAGCTCCACGCCCCCCAGCAGCCTCTCCGTCTGTCACTGCCCCACTGTTTTCTGGCAGCGACCTGGAGAGAGATCTGGTCTTGTCCCCACCAGAGCAGGGTGGAAGGAAGGAAGGAATGCGGGGGCGTGGTTCCTGGGGGCTCATGCCAATGACCTCAGCCTGCCGTCCTCACTGGGAGGCCACAAGGGCACCTGACCCCATCTGGGGGGTGCTGTGCTGGGGTCCGGGGTCAGGGGCCGTCAGCCAGCTCCTCCCCACTCTGGCCTGATCTTAGTGGTGCCGGGGCCAAGAGGTGATAACTGGTGTCTGTCCTCTGTTCTCTCGCAGACAAAGGCCCCAGTGAGGAGCCACGGCCGGAGGAGAGGCCAGTGGAGGGTGAGTCCCCGCCCCTCCCCCACCCCAGTACCCCCACTCAGCCCTCACCTTCCCTCCATCCTGGGCCTCTTCCCTGGGTCTCCCACACCCCGGCTTGGAGAGGGGCGTCCTGTGGGGCTGCCGGGGGTGGGAGGGGATCTGAGGGGGAGGTACCTGGCAAGGGGCTTTGTAGGACGTGGCTTGGGGTTTTGTTGTTACGCACACCCTACCGCTTTGAACAGAGGTCTGGGGTCTGAGCCTGGTCTCCCTGAGCAGGTAGAATTTAGGTCAGAAAACACAAAACCGGCTTTGTGTCTGACAGACCAACCCGGAAGTGTCACTTCCCCCAGACCTTGTGGGCCAGGTCCACCTGCAAGTGGTCGTGAGCGTTAATACTGCCCCCTGGTGGCAGCGTGCGCAATTTGCAGGCTTAGCGCGCACTGAAAGGCCCATCCATGGCCCTTCCTAGGCCCCCCCCCGGGAACCTTCCACCTAGCCCCGATTTCACAGGTGGGTGTGTGAGCCCGTGTGGAGCTTCCCTGTCCACTCCCGCCACGGCAGCCTCAGGGCCCTCCCCGCCGGGCACAGAGCTGAGAGCAGGGAGCTGCCGCCATCCCCAGGCAGGCCCGGCTGACCGGCCTTTGCCCTGCAGACAGGCACGGCGACGTGATCCGGCCGCTGCGGAAGCAGGTGGAGCTGCTCTTCAACACGCGATACGGTGAGCGGGGTGCGGGGGCCCCTCCTCCGCCCGCCCGGCCTGGCCCAGCTGCTCCCCGGGAGGGCTGGGTTAGGGGAGGGGCTCCCTGGCGCGTGTCCACGCCCCCTTCAGCGCCGGCAGCCGGGGCGACAGCTGGCAGCTCTCGGGAAGGGAGCAGAGGTGGCAGCGGGCGGGTAGGCGGGCCTACAGCAGCCGTGTCTCCGCAGCCAAGGCCATCGGCACCTCGGAGCCCGTCAAGGTGCCCTACTCCAAGTTCCTGATGCACCCCGAGGAGCTCTTCGTGGTGGGGCTGCCTGAGGGCATCTCCCTCCGCAGGCCCAACTGCTTCGGCATCGCCAAGCTCCGGAAGATTCTGGAAGCCAGCAACAGCATCCAGTTTGTCATCAAGAGGTGAGGCCGGCCAGGTCCCCTCCTGGGCGCTGGGGTGGGGAGGAGGGGGGCAGGGGCACTGCTGGGCTGGGCCGAGGCTGGGTCTTGTCGTAGGTGATGTGTGGCTGCAGCTGGGCAGACACGGGGTACCCCAGGCCTGCCAGACCCAGAGCTGCCGCTAACACCACCGTGCCCTTCTAAGTTTGCCTGGGTGCTGAGTGCGGCTGTGCCCACCGCTTGCCCGTTGTCAGGCAGGTGCGCAGGTGTCCTGGGCCAGGGTCCCAGGAAGGGAAGGGCCAGGCAGTGGGTTCTCCAGGGCCTTCTGTTTGCCTTGGACATCTTGTTTTTCTCGGTGACAACCAGCATGTGTAGCCTGCGTGCCTCCTGCCAGAGAAGGGAGGTTATTGAGTGTAAAGGGTGGGGAGGGCCAGGCTGGCCTGTGCTGTGTCTGCTGCTTCTGGGTGTTACTGGAATGATCTAGAATTTGAGGTTTGGTTGAAAGCGACAAGGAAGAGGATACTTTAAAAAAAAATTAAGGCACAGTTAGAGAGACAGAGAGGTCTTCCATCCGCTGGTTCACTCCCCAAATAGCCACAATAGCCAGGGCTGGGCCAGGTGGAAGCCAGGGGCCAGAACTCCATCCGGGTCTCCCACGTGGGTGCCAGGGTCCAAGCACTTGGGCCATCTTCTGCTGCTTTCCCAGGAGCATTAGCAGGGAGCTGGATTGGAAGTGGAGCAGCCGGGACTCGAGCTGGCGCCCATGTGGGATGCCGGCGTCAGGCGGCAGCTTTAGCTCCAAAGATTGTTCTCCTGGGGACATCGACGATACCCAGACCCTCGCATCCCCATGCACGCACAGATGGCCGACTGCTGATGAGGACAGCGGAGGGGGGATTGGGGGAGGGGTGTCCAGCCCCACCACGTGCCGGCCTGCAAAGCAGCCTTGAATGCCACAGTCCTCAGCTTGCCAATTGCACAGAATAAAGTCACGGGATCATGTCAGGTCGAGATAAAAGGGGCTGTCACTCAGGGTGGGGGGCGGGGAGGAGGCAGAGACCTGAGGGAGCAAGGTTAGCAGAGGGAGAGCATTGGGGCTGCAGAAGCAGCACATGCAAGGGCTCTGTGGCAGGGATGCGTCTGTGTGGCCGGCGCCACGTGGACCAGGGAAGAGGGAGGGAGTGTTAGAACAGGGCCAGATCACAAGGCGTCTCGGGCCCGCTCAGAGAGTCTGCATTTTAAGAGACAGAAACATCTTCTATCTTTCTGTCTGGTGATTCATTTCCCCAATGGCCTGCAGTAGCCGGGGCTGAAGCCAGGAGCCCAGAGCTCCCTCCGGGTTCCCCCATGTACTTAGCCAGCACCTGCCACCTCCCAGGACATTAACAGACATTATTTGAGAAGTAGAGTTACAGAGAGAGGTAGAGACAAAGAGAAAGGTCTTCCATTCACTGGTTCACTCCCCAGCTGGCCACGACGGCCGGAGCTGCACCAATCCGAAGCCAGGAGCCAGGAGCTTCTTCTGGGTCTCCCATGTGGGTGCAGGGGCCCAAGGACTTGGGTCATCTTCCACTGCTTTTCCAGGCCATAGCAGAGAGCTGGATCAGAAGAGGGGCAGCCAGGACTCAAACCAGGGTTTTAACCCCCTGTGCCACAGCGCTGGCCCCTAGGAGATTTTGAGGAGACTGGGACCTGCTGTGGTCATGTGTGTGTGTGTGTGTGTGTGTGTGTGCGTATGACTCCAGCTGCAGGCTGAGGGGTGACACCTGGCACACACAGTCAGCCGTACGAAGATGGGGCTGCCAGCAGACCTGTTGCTTTCTGGCTGGGGGCTGGGAGAGAGGCAGGGACTGACGGCTCCAGGGAGGGGCCAGGGCTGGGAATGGTAGCCTAGGGGCCGGGCTGCTCCCTGCCTGTGTCCCCAGCAGCACCAGGGCATCAGCAGCTCCCGGGCACCTGGCCCCTGCTCTGGTTGGCCCACGAGCAGGTCTGCAGGCCAGGGCCGAGTCCCCTCTGCTTATCTTGGGGCTCGGGGCTCTGCGCTACCCCGGAAGCACCAACTGTTGGGGGGTGGTGATGCCCAAGTCTGGCTCCTCCCATTTTAACCCCGTGACCTTGCACGGGTGGCTCTGGTGTTAAAGTAGGTGGGGGGGGGGGAGCAGGTGCCGTAACCACTCTGGCCTGTGACATAGGAGCCCTGCTCAGAGACGTCACTCTGCCTCCTGGCCTCAGTTTCCCCATAGTGAGAGGGGGACCAGAGGCAGGCATGCAGGGCAGGGCCAGCCTCCCCCTTGCAGCCCTGTGAGCGCCAGCTGGGTGCCAGGAGTGCCTGTTCCCACGGCCTCATCCCCTGGCCACCGAGACCCTGGCCTTGGTCTCACTCCTGGTGCTGGCCCTGGTGCTGTCCCTCTGCCCCATGGCGGCTGCACACTGGCAGCCTGAGCTCCCCAGGGCACAGCTGGATAGACACCAGAGCATTCAGGATCAGATCCTTCCGCGGCAGTGGCCCCGTGGCTTCTACCCTGGCCATGGCGAGTAGACACAGGGTCTTCAAAGTTCCCGGAGATGGGGCGTTGCCCAGCGGGTAAAGCTGCCGCATCCTGTATCAGAGCGCCGATTCGAGTCCCAGCTGCTCTGTCTCTGCTCCACCTCCTTCTAACTTGGCAGGGAGACACCGGGTGATGGCTCAAGTACCTGAGTTCCTGCCACCCACACAGGAGACCTGGGTGGGGCTCCTGATTCCCAGCTTTGGCCCAGCCCCGGCCATTGCAGCCATCGGGGGAGTGACCCAGTGGATGCAAGAGTTTCTCTCTCTCTGCCTTTCAGATAAATAACTAAATCTTTTAAAAGTTCACAGAAATCTATGTTACCCAGAAATCGTGCAAAATTTTGAAAATTTCCTGCACCAGAACTCACTTTATCTTTTACTTCTGTTTTTCCACAAACTTTTGCAAATCCCTCCAGACAGCTGAGGGCGTGGCCCTGGGCCCGCCCAACCCCTCCCCCCACCACCGACAGGGTGGGCCGCACTCCCAGCTGAACCCCCAGGTCCGTGGGAGGCCCCAGGCGTGCACTGTGCAGAGCCAGGGCCTGGGGCTCAGACAGGACGGGGCAGTATCGGGGCCCCCGGCCACCGCCCCACTTGTGATGTTTTGCAGGCCCGAGCTGCTCACGGAGGGAGCCAAAGAGCCCATCACGGACGGCCCAGGTACCTGTCATGGGCCGGAGCATGAGTGGGTGCGGGGTGGGGGGCCGGCCTCCGCCTCCGCCTCCTCCCCCTGCCTCCTCTACCCTGGGCCCAGCCCCTCCTGCCACCCCCACCCCCACCGATGCCACCTGGGGGTCCCAGGCGCACCCTCCTCACCTGGCTTCTCTCCCCTGCCCCCAGAGCGGGACTCCGGGGACTCCCTTGTGGATGAGAGCCTGAAGAGACAAGGCTTTCAAGGTAAGGTTAAGCTCAGGGTGAGGGCGGCTGGCCTGGTGCCGTGACCTTGACTTCTGGGGGAGGGGAGGGCTGTGCGTTTGTTCCACGCCAGCGAGCAGGTCCCAGGGGAGGCCCCGGAGTCTGCCCACCCGGTGTCCCACAGCCGGCTGTGCTGTCAGTGACGCGAGTGACGCGAGGCCAGGGGGGCTGCCTGGAGGAGGAAAACCAGGACTAAGCCGGGAGGGGTGGGAGGCAGAGAGCCAGGAGGGGGAGGAGAAGGAAATGGGGAAGGGCTGCGGGTGAGGCGGGGGGACGGGAGGAAGGGGCCAGGGACTCTGGGAGGGACAGGCGGTGCCCTGAGCAGCCCCCCGTGTGGGGGGGTGGTGTGGCTGAGAACAGCTGGCCTTGTCCACAGGGGGCGAGGATGCCCGAGCGTCCCCAGGTGATGGCGAGCCTTGTAGCTGGAAGGGCCAGTCCCTGGAGGTGGGGGAGCCCAGAGAGAGGCCCCCAAATCTCAGGGGCCACTCCTGAGTCTAACTCCTTCCAGAAGGTTCTATGATGAGTGCCCGTGCTCACACCCACCCACCCCACCCCCCTCAGCAGACAGAAGCTCCCAGGACCCCCGCCCAAGCATCCAGGCGCCCTCTCCCCTGAGGGTCAGCTCACTGTGCGAGGAGGGGGAGGGGCAGGAGGCTGTGGGGGTCTGGGGACCCCTGCGGTGCAAGCTGATGCCTGGGGTGACCTTACGAAGTGTCTTCCATGTGTCAGCCTCCACCGGGGGCTGCCAGGCCAGGGTGGCTGTGTCTGTGGGGACCACACCTGCCACCCCGTCCGGCGGCACCGCCTGGCCAATCCTGCGCGTGTCGCCTCCCAGGGCTTCTGGCAAGCGCGGGCGCTCAGCCTCAGCCCCACGCGGCCCCAGAGCGCCCCCTGCGGGTGGGAAGCCGTGTCCCTTCCCAGCCCGTGACTGTCTGTCACTCCACAGAGAATTACGACACGAGACTGTCACGCATCGACATCGCCAACACGCTCAGGGAACAAGTTCAGGACCTGTTCAATAAGAAATACGGTGAGCGGTGAGCCGTGCGCCCGGACCCCGCCCTGGGGGGAGACGCACCCCCACCGGCTGTACCCTGAGCCTGGGAGAAGAGGGGTGCCTCCTCAGACTGGGGGCCCGGGAGGGCTCCCTGAAGAACCCTGGGATGGACGGTCAGGAGGTGATCCAGCAGAGCACGAGCAAGGGCTGGGGGTAGCGTGTGCAAAGGCCCTGGGGCCTGTGCTGAGAGGGCCCTGGGAGCTGCAGCGTGGGTGCGAGGTGCTGCAGAGAGCAGAGGCCCCAGGGAGCTGGCAGGCCCTTGGAAGGAGCCGTGACATCCGTCGCCTCCCTGGGTTCGCAGGAGGATTGTGCCAGCTCCACGCTGCAGGCCCCTGCAGATTCCATGTCTGTCCTCGCGTGGCAGAAGGGGCAAGGCCGTCCCCTGAGCCGTTCCGCTGCCTCCTTGTTACCCCTGTGAGAAAGAGCGAACAAGCTCGCATGCCCTGGCTCACCCCCCAAATGCCCTCCAGGGCTGGGGCCAGGCCAGGCTGCAGCCGGGAAGGCAGGGCCATCACCTGCCGCCTCCCGGCTAGCGCCCAAGCAGAAAGCCAAGTTGGGAGCACAGCCAGGACCCAAGGCCGGCCCGGACCTCTGTTCCCACAGTGTCGGCTGCACCTCGGGCTGGCAGAATGGCTGCAATATGGCCAGCCATACCAACTACATCCCTGCTGCCTTTCCAGGAAGGAGAGGGCTAGCTTCCCCTAGAATTTGTGTTTGTTTTATTTGGGGAGGACAGGAGAGAGAGGGAGGGAGAACCCTCTCCCATGCTTAGTTCACTACCTGGTTGTATGCAACAGCCCCCAGCTGGGGCCAAAGCCAGACACCACAAACTCCATCCGGGTCTCCCAGGTGGGGGCTACCTCCCGGGATCTGTGTTAGCAGGAAGCTGGCATCAGGAGCCAGGGCCAGGGCTTGAACCCAGGTACCTCTGATATGGGATTGGGGGCACCTTAACTTTCCGCCCACTGGGTCAACCCCCCACTGACCTCCGCAGGCTTTTAAAGGAGCCGAGTGTGCGGGGTGTAACATGCTTGGGACATCTGCATCCCATAATCAGAGTTCCTGGACTCAAGTCCCAGCTCCCTGCCGATGCACACCCTGGGAGGCAGCAGTGGCAGCTCAGGTCCCTGGGCCCCTGCACCCACGTGGAGACCCGGATGGAGCTCTAGGCTCCTGGCTTCAGCCTGGCCCAGCCCTGGCTGTTGGGGGGCATTTGGGGAGTGAACCAGCAGATGCAAGACCTCTCTCCATTGTGTTCTCTCTGTATTGCTGTGCCTTTTTTTTTTTTTTTTTGACAGGCAGAGTGGACAGTGAGAGAGAGAGACAGAGAGAAAGGTCTTCCTTTTTGCCGTTGGTTCACCCTCCAATGGCCGCCGTGGCCGGCGCACTGCAACCAGTGCACCACGCCGACCCTGGTCTCCCATGGGGTGCAGGGCCCAAGGACTTGGGCCATCCTCCACTGCACTCCCTGGCCACAGCAGAGAGCTGGCCTGGAAGAGGGGCAACCGGGACAGAATCCGGCGCCCCGACCGGGACTAGAACCCGGTGTGCTGGCGCCGCAAGGTGGAGGATTAGCCTAGTGAGCCGCGGCGCCGGCCTTGCTGTGCTTTTCAAACTAAGTCTTTCAAAAAATAATAAAATAAGCTAACTACCGAATCATACACTTTAAAATGGTGGATTTCAGGTGCGTGAATTATATCTCCTTTAAAAAAGCAGTCGGGCTAGGGCAAGGGCGTGGAGCCAGGGGTGACAGGACGACACAGCTTTTCTGTATTTGCCACATGAGGGGCGCACAGCACAGCTCTGAGTTCCCCGGGAACCGGAGCAAAAAGGGAAATGAGTTGGGCTGTGCGATTCCCAGTGCTGGAGACAGAGAAACACCCGCAGGCAGGTGGCCCCAGAGCTCAGCTGCTCCTCCCCGCGCTGAGAGCCGCGGAGATGCCTGCCGCCTGTCGTTAGGGGGCGCCCTGGGAGCGGGCGATGAGGTCGAGCGAGACCCCCTGCAGGGAGCTCCTTGCCTCCCCCACCCCCGGCGGGCCCCACGCAGGTCCGAGAGGCGTGGGCCACAGCTGAGGCCACGTGGCTGCCCCCCGGGGAGGTGGGGGACCAGGCCAGGGCCAGATACAGAGAGAGCACATGTGGTCTGGGCGGCCCACTAGCTGGCCTGGCCCCGCCTCTCGTCTCTGACGACCCCGCCCCTCTCGCCTGCAGGGGAGGCCTTGGGCATCAAGTACCCGGTCCAGGTCCCCTACAAGCGCATCAAGAGCAACCCCGGCTCGGTGACCATCGAGGGGCTGCCCCCCGGGATCCCCTTCCGGAAGCCCTGCACGTTTGGCTCTCAGAACCTGGAGCGCATCCTCGCCGTGGCTGACAAGATCAAGTTCACGGTCACCAGGTACTCGGTGGGGGCGGGGTGGGGGCGGGGCTCCCACGCAGGGATGGACACCGGACAGACGAGGCGGCCCTCCCAGCTCCTGCCTGGAGCCTGGAGGGGGGTCAGAGGAGCGGCAGGCCCCCCGGGGCATGGGGAGCCCTGCAAGTGGGCACTGCCCCCACCCCAGGCCCTCGCCCTGACCTTGCCACCTCTGATTCTCTTCCAGGCCGTTCCAAGGACTCATCCCAAAGCCCGGTAAGAGGCGTGGGCTCCGGGGAGGGGGCTGTGTGACATGGCGGGGGGGAGCAGGGGCGGGGGAGGGGCTGGCCACGCCCTGGGGGACCACTGAGGGACACAGGTTCTGGGGCCGGGGTCTGGAGCCGGCCGGGCCCCTCTCTTGTCCTGCCTGCCCTGGGCAGAGAAAGGGGCCGTGGGGAGGCCCTGCTGATGGCTGAGTTCTACGGTGCGAGGGGTACCCTGAGGGACCTCAGTGCTTGTGTGACGTTTGGGACAGGTAGGTTCCTACCTGGAGGCCTGGAGCCTGGCGCTAAGGTGCGGGGGCTGCCTGCCAGTCCCGATGGCAAAGGCCTCTCCCCCACCCCTGGAAGGCGGCCATCCCCCTCCGCTGCCCCAAACCCAGACCAAGGCTGCCCCTGCACTCAAGCCCGCACCGCGGACCCTGGAGCCTGGTCAGGCTGGGAATAGGGGCGTGGCCACGGCCGCACAGGAATCCCCTCCCCAGTCCCACGCCAGCCCTCTCCATCACACGGAGGCTGACCCCTCTGCCTGCTGGAGCCTGGCCCGTCATGTGCCCAGGCCTGGCTTGTTGGGCTTCCTGGAGGCGGCAGACATCCCTGGGGGGTGTGGCAGCACCATGGGGTCCCAGGGTGGAGAGAGACCGTGTTCTGTGTAAGCAGTGGGGGCTGAGACCCCGCGGCGCCCCCGCAGGTGAGGGGAGGAAGCAGCAGCAGCCCCCAGGACCCCCGGGGCCAAGAGTTTGCTGCGTGCTGAGCGCTTCCCGCAGGTGCGGCTCACGCATGCGCACACGCATATGCGGGGGTCTTGGAAAAGTTTATGGAAAACGCACAGTGTGGGAAGACGGAGCTTGGATTTCAAAAGTGTTTTGCATCAAAATGAACTTCTCCGGGCCTGGCGGTCACGGTGCTGCCGCCTGTGACACCAGCATCCCGTGTCGGAGCGCTGGTTCGAGTCCTGGCCGCTCCGCTTCCAATCCAGCTCCTTGCTAATGCGCCTGGGAAAGGAGCGGAGGATGGCCCAAGTGCTTGGGCCCCTCCCACAGAGACCCGGATGGAGCTCCTGGCTCCTGGCTCCTGGCTTTGGCCTGGCCCAGCCCCAGCTGTTGCAGGCATCTGGGAAGTGAACCAGGGGATGGAAGATTGATTTTTTTTTCTCTCTCTCCCTCCCTCTCTAACTCTGCCTTCCAAATAAACACATCTTTAAAAAGAAAGAAAAAAAAATGAAATGCAGAGTCTCAGGTCCTACCTCATGTTGACTAAGGCAGAATCTGCATTTAAAAAAAAAAAAAAAAAAACCTTTTTGTTCCCTTTTTCCAAGAGTCTTTGAAATTCCCTTGTGTTTTCTGGAAAGCCTGCCAGGGCCAGGTAGAGTGGTGGGCTCTGCGGTGAGGGAGGAACAGTGTTGCCCAGACAGAGCAGGCCTCCCAGCAGGGGCCAGAGCCCCCCTTACAGCAGGGGAAACTGAGGCTGGGCGTCCCGGTGCCTGTATCTGGGGCTAGCAGGGACCTGCTCTACAGCGCCTCACAGTGGCGGCTCCGGGGTCACTGGCCCCACACACTGGGGAGGCCTGGTGCCAGCCAGAGAGGGGCAGGGAGGAGGGCCCAGTTCTCCTGGCCACCGGAAAACCGAGACAAACCTTCCCCCGGGCTGCCTGTGGCCCCTGCCCCGCCTGCAGGTCCAGGCCTGCCTGGCCCCAGCTCACAGACAGAACCGCTGAGCCCTGCGGAGTTGGCTTCCAGCCACCAGCCCATCCAGGCCAGTGTCTGCCGGGTCCCCATAGGCCCTGGGCAGCACTCTGAGGCCCCATGATCACAGGCAGCGTGGAATTTGGGGTGAGAGCCTGGGGGCCCTCCTGAGGGTGACCTCTCCTGTCCGACAGGACCCGCACTCCATCCAGGGGCTTGGTGCCTCTCTTACCTCCAGGCTGCCCGCCAGCCTCCCCTTCCATCCCCCTGTGTGCAGGAGGAGGCCTTGGAAATGCCTTCTCTTCTGCCTCCCCTGGGCGGCAGGCTGCCTGGAGGAGGAGGCAGGAAAGGGATGGATCTGGGCGTCAGCCCACGGGGCCGGAGCAGCCAGGCTGCTTGTCACACTGGCACAGAGTCCCGACTATTCCTGCTGAGGGATCCCAGAGCCCAGAACCTCCCGGAGCTCGATCTGCTGCAGAGACGGACCTCAGCAAGGCTGTGGGGGGGGATGGGTGCAAGGCTGGAGGGCGAGACCAGGTGATGGACAGACACCGGAGAGGGGGAGGGGCTGGAGGCGGGGCTTGGGAGGAATGGGGGACTGCATAGGACAGACACTGTTAAGAATGGTTCTGAGGTTTATTTCATTTATTTGAAAGGCAGAGAAAGAGAGAGAGCTTCCATCCACTGATTCACTCCCCAAGTGGCTGTAACAGCCAGGGCTGGGCCAGGCTGAAGCCAGGAGCTGCTTCCAGGTCTCCCACGTGGGTGCAGGGGCCCAAGCACTTGGGCCATCATCTACTACCTCCCAGGCACATTAGCAGGGAGCTGGATCAGAAGTGGAGCAGCCGGGACTCGACCCAGGCACTCTGATATGGGATGGCAGCATTGCAAGGGCGGCTTAACCCACTGCGCCCCAGCACCGCCCGGGTTCTGAGTTTCCGGTCCCTTACTGACCAGAAGCAGGTGAGGCCTGCTCTGGAGTGGGGTCAGGGGTTAGACCCGGTGCTAGTGTGGGGCCAGGGCACAGCCACCCTGGGCCAGTTGGTTGTGGGCTCAACAGAGTTGACCCAGAAGGCCTTGCAGTGTGTCACAGCTGGATGCATCACCTGTGCCCTCGGGCTGAGTGTTCCCTGCTCTGACATGCGCAGTGGTGGGCCAGCGTCCGGCCTGGGAGGAATGTGAACTTGAGCGGAGCCTCTCGGACAGTTTGTGTGTTGGGGGAGGGGGCAGTTCAGGCCTCGGACCAGAGGAGCTGGGGGCTTGGGACTGGGCCAACGATCCAGAGAGAGAGGCAGGGGCTCGGGACAGCCCTGGGGGCAGTCAGCCCTGCACGTCGCAGGCATCTCGCTCCAGGGAACAGACGGGCACCAGGGGGCACAGGCCACTGCATGCACATGGCAGGCAGGCGCGGGAGGTGCAGCGAGAAGAGCGATCCTAGCGTCCCCGCTGTGTGGGGGGCACCGGGCCACAGCAAGCGCCTTCCCAGGCTCCCAAAAAACCAGGGCAGCGAGGGACGCTGTTCCGCAGGCGTTGGCCCACGGGCAGGAGAGCTGCCAGCCACTGGTACGGTAGCAGCCGCAGAACCTTCTGGCAGGTGCTAACAGCCTGGCACACCTGATGTCTGCGTCACCCTTGGCATTGGCAGGTGCAGGGCCCACCCTCATTACCCTATGGGAAATCCCACAGTCAGGGCCAGTGTGTGGCACGCGGGTTAAATGGCTTCCTGCAGCCCACACTGGGTCTCTGCCTCCCATCCAGCTCCCTGTTAGTGGCTGGGAAAGCTGTGGAAGATGGCCCAAGTGCTAGGGCCCCTGCACCCACGTGGGAGACCCAGAGGAAGCTCCTGGCTCCTGGCTTGGGCCAGGTCCAGCCCCAGCTGTTGTAGGCATTTGGGGAGTGAACCAGTGGATGAAAGATCCATTTCTGTCCCTCTGATGCCTGTCTTTCAAACAAATACATATTTATTGAGGATGTTCCCCAAGGTCACACAGCACGTGTGTGACCTTGAACTGAACTGAGGTCTGCCCGGTTTTCCTTTGGAACCCAGGGCGGGCTCTACACCATCCCAGGCCTTAGTGCCTGCCCTTGCAGGGGGTCCTAGCCACACCTTCCAACCCCACCCCCCACCCCCCACCCCGCCCAGCAACACTGAGTGGCTCTTTGCTGCCCCCTCCTGGCCACCATCAGCTATCGCATTGCTCCCGTGCTTAGCAGCCCGGTGGCGGTGGTGGCTGGTGCTGAGCAGTGTGGGAGGTGTGGGGGGCAGGAGAGGCCAGGAGGGGGCTGGAGGGTGGGATAGGGTCGCCAGCGGAGTTGAGAGGTGGACATTGCAGCAGGGTGATTTCAGCTGGGCTTGACAGAGGGAGGGGCAGGGGCGAGGGGGCTGCTGGCTGCAGGCTGGGGGGACCCCCCCCCAGGGGGAGGACAATTGCAGAAGCCGGGTCCCCGAGACAGGGCTGGAGAGCTGGGAGGGGACAGCCAGAGAGGATGCCTGATGTCACAGCTGTTGGCAACCCGGGGTGAGGGGGTGGAGATCAGGAAAGGGTGCAGAGGTCTTGAAGGGAGAGAGCCCCACCCTTCACCACTTTCCTGGCTGCAGGTGCCGGGCCCTGTGCTGCCAGCTTTTCACCCACAGGCTCTGGAGGGGGGAGCCAGGGGGTGCCCAACACATGCTGTTCCCCTCGGTCTCCACTGGGACCCTGGTGGCTCCTACTTGGTCTCGTCACATCATAGGTGCTTCCCGGGGGGAGTGAATGAGACGTGTGTTGTCTGGGGGTTACCATGGTGACCACGCTGGAAAAGCCCTGGAAGGTGGTGAGCTCCCTGGCCCTGGAGGCATTTAAGTAGAGGTTGAGCAGGGAAGTCACCTCCCACAGGGCTGGCTGCGGGGAAGAGTGAGCTGAGTCCACTGCCCCCCCCGCTGCCCAGTGGCAGGTTTGGGGCTCCCCACCGCAGAGGCAGAGCAGAGCTGCCGACTTCCTGTGCGATTCCAGCAAGTCCGGTTTGCCTGCCTGGGCCTCAGCGTCCTTGTAGAACAGGGAGAATCGCACACAGCCCATCAGCCGCTCACGGGGCACCCCTGGGGCCCACAGCCAAGGGCAGGAGGAGGGGCGGGCTGGCAGGAGCAGGGGGCGGCGAGGCGAAGAGGCCGGCCAGGCCGGAGCGCGGAGGGCCTGGAAGGCCTGGCTTTGCAGCGTGGACTGAACCCTGCAGACCCGGCCTTGGCGAGCTCTCCCGCTGACGTCCCCACGGCCAAGGAGCCAGGGCCCGAGTCTGGGGAGCGGGGCGGGGGGCCCCAGCGTCATCTCCTCTG